AAAAAATAAAAAATAAAAAATAAAAAATAAAAAATAAAAAATAAAAAATAATAATAATAAATTAAATATAAATCATTATCTTTTTCTTTCTTTCTTTCTTTTTTATTTTAATAGCAAATGTTACATCATCTTTTGGAGTTATGATTAGCACTTCAAATATTTTGATCAATGATGTTATAACAATTGAAACTGATGTTCCAGTTATTTGGACTGTAGAATTACAATTTAAATAAATTTAACGTTCTTAAATTCATTAAGAATGTTGTTGGGGTACAATTGGTTTCTAATATGAAAAGAATTTTTTTAATATAAGTAATTGAAGGTAATTAAGGTAATTGAAATATTTCAAAAATTCCTCACTCACCAATTCCCCTTGTTTACCATTTTCCCATTTTGCGTATTTGATTCCTTGTTCGTCTCGTTTTTGTGCTATCAAACGTTGTTCCTCTTTAAGCGCATTACGAACTGCACGAGCACAAATCTGAGTATATTTGAGATAACTTAAAAAAAACAAAAAAAAAGGTTACAAAGAAAGTTTTTTTTTTTAAAGTCTTATTTCAATTTATTTTAAAACGAAAAGGACATACGTAATGCCTGCTGTTTTCCAAGAAAAGGCCATTGATTAATATTTTAGAGACAATAAGCCCGCCTGTAAATGTGAATTATTTATAGCTTAAACGAGAAAGAGAAACGTAACAAATTGTATATATTTTTTTTTTTTAAAAAAAAAAATCTCATCTAAATTCACTATATTGTCACGTGGAATCATATAATCACATGATCATTTGCTGCGGATAAATAAATTCATTTTCTATGCTTATTTAATATATATAGTGCCATAATTTTTATTAAATTCGGAATAATTACATTTAAATACGTCAATAAAATATGAAATGAATAATGAACGTTTAATATAATACTTAATTGGCGCCAGAAATTCTTTCAATCTTCAATCATAATCTTGCATGTTAAAGAAAAAAATTTTTTTTTTTTTTTTTTGCAAGATTGCGCCCAAAAATTAAACCACATGAACATCTATCTAAATAAACAATGGAAACTCAAAAAATACATTTCTAATTAAGGAATACTGATAAATTACATATACGCGGATACGCCCGCTTAAAGTTAATGTTTTTATATATATAAAAAATATATTTAACATAGAACAAAGAAATTTTTTTGTACGAATAAAAAAATTTTCCAGTTTCAAATTTTACATAACAAATGTTTCAGATTCAGATTGTAATATTGATGTTATTTTTTTTAAAAAAAAAAAAAAAAATTTTCAAATAACGCGAAATTAATTCACGCTCAAAAAGTTCAAAAATTTCAGAAAAGTTCAAAAATTAAAATTTATGAAATTTATGGAATTATATAAAATCAAAATGTATTAATTATAATAAAGTAAAAAAAAATTTTTTTTTTTTT